GTGTGTGTACATGCATGTGTGCATAAGCGCGCGCGCGCACACACACACACACACACACACACACACACACACACACGCACATGGACATGTGAGTATGGGGAGTCACAGAGGTCTGATTTGATCCTCAGGAGCTGAAGTTCCAGGCTGTTGTGAGTCACGCAACATGGATGCTAGGAAGCCAACAACATGGGTGCTAGGAAGCCAACTCAGGTACTCTGGGAAAGCCATATGCAATCTTTTTCATTGTTGTTTTGTTTTTTGAGCCAGGGCCTCTCTATGTAGCCTTAGCTGTCCTGGACTCGCTCTGTAGACCAGTCTGTCCTCAAATTCACAGAGACCCACCTGCTTCTGCCTCCCTGAGGGCTGGGATTAGAGGGGTATGCCACCGTGCCCGACTACAGCATGCACTCTTAACCACTGAGCCATTGTTAACCCCGAAGATGAGAGGAAAAAGACCTAAATCATCATGGGCAAATTAATTAAAGGAAGCAATTAATTAAAGCAACCTTTGTTTTATTCGTATCCACAAGCTCCCTCCCCTAAGGCAGGGTTTGAGAGGTCAACCTTGGATTGGAGAAAGATAAGGTTTCTATAGCTCGGGATACGGGATTCCCAACAGGTGGGGTTACAGGAGCAGAACATAAGTGGAACAAGTTAGTCCTACCTGGACTCCTGAAACAAAGCAAGGTGGGCATAACAACAGGCAGTCATACAAGGTACCCATGGCAACACTTTTGAAACAAAGACAGGGTTGCCATTCCTGGAACAGGCAGTCCAGAACCTTTTGTAGTTAAGGTTACAGGTGGGGTGTAACCCAATTCTCAAGACATAGATTTAATCATAGACAGGAATGACCCTAGTTTGTCTTTACTGTAAAAGGGTTTTAAGCCTAAGATGGAAACAGGTTGGTTCTTCACCATCTCTCCAGCCCCTCTGAAGGTTTCATGTAGCCCAGTAGGCCTCAAACTTGCTCTGTAGCTGAAAACGACCTTGCCCTTCAGATCCTCCAGCCTCTGCTTCCTGAGTACTGAGATTACAGAGGTGTGCCAGGTTTATGTGGTGCTGGAGGATGAAGCTAGATGGCTGTGCATGGTAGGCAAGTCCTCAACCAACTGAACCACGTCCCAAACCATCCCTGTCATCTTCGTTTGTTTGAGAATGAATCTCACTGTATGATCCCGGCTTGCCTGGACCTCACTATATAGACTAGGCTGGCCTTGAACTCACAGAGATCCAGTTGCCTCTGCCTCCCAAATGCTAGGCTTAAGCGCATGTGCCACCATCCTGCCACTTTTATAAGCCACAAGACTATTTTTTTTAAGACTATTAACTATTTTAAAATGTAAAAACCGAGGCTTGAAATGCAGTTTAGTAGCTGGGTGCTCATCCGGAGTACACGAGACCATTGTGGGGTTGGTTCTTAGCACTGAAGAAAACGTGTTTAAAAACCATTCTCAGTTGCCGGCTACCGTCTGTGGATGCTGCCATCTGCACTGTGGTTTACTTCACTTCTACCCTTGTACCAGGCCTGGCAGGGATTAAGATATTTTGAAGGGATACTTACTTTGGCTATCAGACTATTCAAACAGTAGACCCTAAGTGACCGAACTCCCCGGAAGCTCCTGCTGGGAGGGGAGAAAGCTTAACGCCTGGCCATCAGGGGGGGGAAAGGGACCCCTAGTGAGACGACCTCACAGAAGAAACAATGATCTCAACTGCGGGTGGGCTGGCACTTTAGCTGGGACTGCCTAGACCCACAAACCCCAAGTCCTCTGTTTAAACAGAAATTTCACCTCAAGACCCTGAAGACAGCTTTGGGGAGAAGGGGAGCTCTTTACCCCTCTTCCCAACATGGCCACACTGAATAAATCTTCCTTTTTCCCTTTTTTTACTATTAAGTTTGGGTTTTGTTTTGTTGTTGTTGTTATTGTTGTTCTGATTGGCTTGTTGAGGAGAGCTGGCTGAACCTGGCTTCCTGGGGCACAGACTGTGCCCTGAAGTTTGGTAGCATCCTTAGGAATGCCCCACACCCATGGGAATGGACCGCTTTATTGTTCCAAACCACTGCAAGCAGCCTGAGAGGCTGCCGTGAGTGTGCGCTGTGCTGCTGGACTCCCAGTTTGATTTCGCTTTAATGAGCATCCTCGTACATCCTCGGGAACTTTTGCAACCATAGAATTTAATTCTGAGTGAAACAAAGGCTATGAGCATTTAAACTTTTTCTGTATATTGACAAACTGTCCAGAAAAGCAGAATTTACTTCATACTGCCTATGAGCAAGGTCCTCCTTTCTCATTTTAATCCCTGGGTGTCCTAGCAGATGTGCTAAAACCTATCTCTCCGTAAACCCAAGGACTACCACAACTCCCTCTATGGCGGATCTTCCCTTTGCCTCTCAGCCCTGCTGCCGCTGGCCCTGAAAAGCAACTATGGTTGTCTGTCTTGTTCCCACCACACTGGTCTGAAATCTTCAAGCCAGACTGCCCACCCAGGTGCAAAAACTGAGGAGACAACCTGGATGAAACTGCTGTCCAAGTACATGACAACTACAGAGTTGCACAACAATCTCCTAGATGAACTTTGTCCTGCTCCCTTTTGCCCTCCCATCTAGAACCTTTTAACAGCAGGGACTCTCAGGACGGACCACGTGCATACTTGCCTTCCCTGTACAGCATGGCTTTAAACAAAAACCAAGGCCAAGTAAGGTCGGCAGCTCTCCCAGGACGCCTGCGAGTGCTGGCACACCAGGTGTGCATGTCGAATGGCCTGCAACCCACACCCAGATGCTTACTGACTACTCAGAAGCTGACTGTCCTCAAGAGAACCGGGGGGGGGGGGGGGGGGGGAACCTTGTGCACATGCATGATGAACTTAGGAAAGAGGTGGGGTTGGTTGCTCCAAGCGACCAAGACTCTGACATGAGGAGGCATTGGGAAACTCAGTACTCCCAGGAAAGGAACTGGGGAAGGAGGGCTGCGAAGGGAGGGAAGTGACCCTCAGACAAACTAGGGGCCTCCCCTGGTTACCAACACCTCACACAGCCTTACAGGGCAAAGCTAGGATTGGTAGCTTCATCTTCAGGATGAAGCCATGGGAACCCTCATGTGCACAAAGGCGCTGCAGTTCCAGGGGCTTTTCCCAGGTTGCTGTCTCAACAGCCTCAACACCTCAAGCCATGTGGTAGCCCAAAGGCGGTGACATACAGCAGAGGAGATGTGCCAGACAGGAAGCGCACACCGCTAAGTGCTTCCGCGTGCCAAGTTGCTGTCAAACTGCGTCATCTGCCCTCCCCCTCCACGCCAGGGGGATGGCAGCAGGAATCATTCCTACTGTAAAGGCAGGCTCTTAAGAGTCAAGCAAGGAGGCCTCCACAGCCCTCTGGCTGCCTCACCTGAGCTCCAACCTCGGACAGAGAAACAGCGGGCCTACGCCTGTTCCAGACATGGCCTGTCCTCCCTCCCAGGGGCCCAGGCTAAAAAAGCTGGGGGTAGGCGGAGCCGCCACCCTGCAGGCAGCCCTTTGCTCACACCCCGACACATGCGTGGGCCGGGAGGAAGTGGTGGAGTTGCCATTCCCTTGTGCACTGAGGCTGCCCATCTGTTTCCTGGGATAGAACTCCCTACCCCCATCCTCCTACCCGGAAACTCACTTGCTCTGGGGCTATGGGAAAAGGAACTATCTGAGTTCCTCTCCCTAGGGGGTGGTGACAGACCCTGTTCACCACCTCGGTCCAGGCCTCCTTCCCTCCGAGCTTTAGCTGACCTGCTGCCACCAACAGCCCTGGAGCGCATGAAGCAAGGGCCATCACGGGAGCCTCCCTGCTCCTGTCCGCGAAGCGGCTGTCTGTTCCTGTCTGCAGCTGGCATCTTCACTTAGTTCAGCCTTGGGGGAGGGAAGGGCAGGGCTTAGAGAGAGAAGGTAACATTCTGGGTAGAAGTTGGTAGAAAGTAAAGGAATCGGCCTTTCCAGTCCCTCACTGGAAGGACCCACATTGGTCATCTGTGTGAGAGGAGCGCACTCTGCTGGACCTGCAAGATACAACCATCTAGGCGGCTGTGCACACACAAGGCAGAAAAGAAGCCTTGGTGCCTTAACCTATGCCCCACAAAACTAGTGTTGGACTAACACAAGCAGTGCCTAACGCAGCCTATGGTCCTATCTCAAATGAGTTTAAAAGGAAACAAAACCATCCAGGCTGGGACAAGCAGGAAAGGTGAGTCGAGGGTTTGTATAGACCTGAAAGATGAAGAGAAAGGCAATTATATGCAAGCCCCAACCCAAAGCAATGGTCATTAGGTGGAACACAAGTACAGCAGGAGGATACATGGACCCACCAAGGATTCTGAGGAAGTGAAATCTATACCTGCTAGAGCTGACAATATGTCTGTCTTTGAATTTCTGCTCCTCAACCCTAATATATAAAACTTGTCAAAGTTGAGGTGGCCTGGCCAGGAACAGAGTGAAAAGCTCCCAGTCCACCACACAGTAGTGGCTTCTAGAGTATCTTTGAACGCCGGAGGGAACAAGGTTTGAAACAAGAAGTAGAGGTAATGAACAGCTCTCAGGCTTTCAATGTGTCTGACGGGAAAAGCAAAGTGTCTAACAAGGATGGAGAGCTGAGCCTGAGAGTTCGGAGAGGAATGAAAGTGGGGGCAGGGGATCGCGGGGTGCCAAAGCCTCTGCCCTTCTCTGGGCCACTTTTCTACAACAGGACTTCAGGGATCCTCAGGGTCAGTGTATGGGGTCCACACTCTCCATTCATGGTGCTCTTTCCCTGTCTTCTCATGCTCTGCCCACACTGTCCCATTTAATCTAGCGTCTGCTTATTTTGTACACTAGTCCATCTCCTGTGCGCCCCACACACCAGCACAATAGATTTCCTTCCATACACAGCAGGATTGAGGAAAAGAACATCCCATGTACTGCAGAAATGAGCTGCCCAGGGAGCAGTGACTCCCCAGTGCCAGAAGACACTATGCTTGTCTTGAGAGGGTACTCACCCCAGGAAGGTCCAGAAGCTTTGCTACCAGAAGAGGCAGCTTCAGGGCAGCGACGCTTCCAGTGACACCCACAAGAACGTGAAATGCTCTCTCCACCGGAGGTATAGAGGCTGGGTGTGGGACCCTCGCTTCCATGTGGTGTCTGGTGGCTTTCTGGGAGCCTAGAAATCCTGGGTTTAGAATCTAAAACAGAATAAAGGGCATCCTCTTCATTCATAGTCATACAAGAGTTTGTGGTATGCCCTAGACTGTCTAGATGCTGGGGCTGCTGTGGGTGTCAACAGTCCCAGGTTCTGAATGCACACAGTGTGATGAGCAAGTCAGGCCTCCTCTCCATACAATGCTGTAAGGGCAGTACCTGTGCCATGACTGTCCAGTGACTAGCTCAGAGATGACGTCACATAAAGGTGTCATTCAGGCTCAATCCTGCAGGATGAGCACTTTTTCAGACAGGAGGAAATTATTTCAAATGTAATAACCCTGCACAGTGAAGTGGTCTGGAAGAGAATGGCAGGTGTGGGGAGCAGCCTAGGTTAAGAGAGAAGCTGAAGAGTTGTGAGGAGGTTAGGAAGGGCCAGGCTGCACAGTCAGATCGAAGCCAGAATGTCAGCGGCGGTGAGAACCTGGTGCTTTGATATGAAAAAGATGAGACTGGGGCTGGTGATGTGTGGAGAGGCCCGTGGCTGCTGGTAGAGACTGGGGAATTACTGCGATGTGCCTGGCTGACTAGTGAAGAGGATGGAAAGAGAATGAGGACAAGAGCTGTGAGTGATGTGGAACCACAGGCAAGAACAGTACTTCTAGAGCCAAGAGACATGCCCCTGCAGCCCCGTCCCATCCTTATGGGCCAGAGTGAACACCAAACCAAGAGGCAAACAGAAAGCAGTAGGCCACTCCACAGGGGCAGCTGGCTGGGCTCTCCCTCTGGCAAGTGCTTGTGACGCTGTGGCTGATGCAAACATCAAAACCTCTACTCACTGCACCAGCACACCTCACTCCGTCAGCCAGTCCCCAAGGACCAAACTCTGGGCAGAGAACTGGGGAAGACAGCACTGCTGCCTTTAGGGACTGTATGGATGAGTTTGGGATGGCCCTTTGGACGGAGCCTTTCTGATGACCTCTCACTCGGTTTATGCATCAGTGTCCGCTAGCAGCAGTCTCCCCACATATTAACCACCACCCACCTCTCCCCTCACGGCCAGCCCTCAACATCTGGACATCTGTGAGTAAACGGTGCACTGGGCAGATGGGTGCCCTGGGAAGCAGCAGTCCTGGGTCCTGTCCAAGGTTGTACTCCTGACCTGCTCTATGACCCTGGGCCAGGGTCATTCCCTCCCCAAAACTGTGCTCATACGAAAAACATATAAACAGATGATTTCTGAAACCTCCTTCAGTGCCACCTGAGTCAATGCAAAAGACAGTGGTAAAAGACTCTCTACAAGATAGAAAATCCCAGAAGATGCCTTCAAAAGGTCAGTTTCAGCCATGGACAGATAACGCAGTAGCTCAAGCTCCCTCCCCATGCCTGGGTACCCACAGGGGCCTCTCTGGCATTTTCCTGTAACGTTTAGGCATATATCTGTAAAAGCGGAGGTGATGCTGGTTAAGCACAAACTGGTTCCCTGGCCACAATTCCCACCCCTCAAGTTCTTGCTGCACTTCTTAAAGATTTACTTTATCTATTCACTGTTTATATGTATGAGTGTTTTGACTGCATGTATGTCTGTGCATCACCTGTATACAGTGCCCAGAGGCCAGAAGAGAGTGTCAGAGCCTCTGAAATTGGAGCTACAGGTGGTTGTGAGCACTAGGTGAGTCTAGGGAATTGAACCCAGGGCCTCTGCAAGAGAAGTATATGCTCCCTTAATCACTGAGCCTTCTCTCTAAGCCCTGCCCCTCGTCTGCCCCTAGTACTTTAAATCTTTGCTAAAATTCAGGGCCTCAACCAGAAGCAGGCCTGTTAGAGAAATACACCCAAAAATCTAGGGAGCACTGTTAACATCTGACCATGGGACCAGCTTCTCCCGAGCACAACATTAGTAGGTGGGACACACGTTTGGGGTTTGTTTTCAATTATTTTATTATTTTAAAATATTTATTTATTTATTTACTTACTTATTATTTATACAGTGTTCTGCCTGCATGTGTCCTGCAGGCCAGAAGGCAGCACCAGATCTCATTACATATGGTTGTGAGCCACCATGCGGTTGCTGGGGATTGAACTTGGAATCTCTGGAAGCGCACACAGTGCTCCTAACCTCTGAGCCATTTCTCCAGCCCCCCTAATTATTTTATTTGTAATTACGTGTGCACATGAGCATGAGCACTTGAGTGCAGATGCTCTAGGAGGCCAGAGGCATCTTGGAGTTCTGGGTAGCTGTGAGCAGCCATCACTCCAGCTCCATGAGAAGCACATTCTTTTTTGGTTTGTTTTTTTCAAGACAGGGTTTCTCTGTATAGCCCTAGCTGTCTGAGAATCACTTTGTAAACCAGGCTGGCCTCGAACTCACAGAGCTCCATCTGCCTCTGTCTCTGAGATCAAAGGCCACCACACCTGTCAAGAAGCACATTCTTGATTCTTCAGGAAAACTTACCTGTCAGTCCTCAAAACTTGACCCTACCCTACTTCAGTCAAATGATGCAAGAACAGGAAGAGTCCTGCAAAACAGAAGCACAATTTCATTTCTGCAGTCCCTGAACCTCAAGAAGATAAAATTCCTAAGGGCTATATTACAGAAAGCTGTCAGTTAAACTGGAGACAGGACTCTGCAGGGCTCATTTCAACTGCTCCCCCCCAGCAGGCACTGTGACCCAAAATACAATGCTTGATCTGCTAACCAAGCTTTGCCAGGACCAAAGCCATTATTCTAGGAGGAAGGGAGGGAGGAAGAGAGGAAGAAAGGGAGAGAGAGGGAGAGAGGAAAGAAGGGAAGGGAGGGAGAGAGGGGAAAGAGAGAATACAGAAACCAGATTCTTTAACCCACATTTGGAAGCAAGGTCAAATCTGTTCAACCTGAATGCCAGGGAGATGGCAGCTGGCAAGAGTTTGTTTACTCTCCAAGATCAAATTCCTCCATCCAGGTCCTATGAAAGACTTTTACATTTATTTCTTAACACAGTAGGGGTGACTGTAGGCAGCACCTCACTTCCTGGGACCTGCCACTCACAGGAACTGTGAGCAGAAAAGAGTAGACAAGCAGGTTATGACTGAAAGGTTGTAAGTCCTGTGATTCCACCACCAGAAAACTGCACTTTCTCTATCCTTCAGAAAGACAGAAGAGCCTTTGCTTACATAACAAACATAACTTCTAAAACACAGTAACAAGAGAAACTTTTCTACCCTTGGAAATGCTTCATATTTGTGTTTCTTTCTATCTGGTTAATGATGTGCCTTCTGATGCTCTGGAGCATAAATTTTCCAGCACAATTCCTTTGGCTCCGGTGGACTGCCCTCCATCCTAACCATGAAGCTCACTGGTTAGAACAGGGACAAGGCTGTACATGTCTGCATTCCTGACATGCTTGTCCAGAAGCATCCAGGAGCTGAACATTATAACATCTAATTTTCTCCTACCACTACTGACCCTCTGAAGAAAAAAATGAAAAGGACAAGCTTATTTTATCATGTTGTTCCACCAAAGTCAAGCTTGAGTTACTCTTGGCCATCCTTGAACTTCAGATTAATTTTTCTTTCCAACCTCATAGCCAGGTACAAGGGAGACACACATATGTGCTGGCTATAGCTAACTAGCTCTAGACTAGTCTTTATTCTAAGCTACATATGCAGAAAATCCAATTTTTTCATATTTTTACTTGACATTTATTATAACCACAGAACTTACGCTTATTCTTATGTATATTTCAAGAAAAAGTTTGGTGGCACATGCCTTTAATTCCAGCACTTGGAATGTAGATTTCCAGGAGTTGAGATCAGTGGTCTACACAGTGAGTTCTCGGCTAGCCAGTCCTACACAGTAAGACCTGTCAAGAAAGAGAGAAGGGTCAGGGGAGAGAGAAGGGAAAGGAATAGAGGAGGAGGGAGGAAACAGAATTTAAGAGAACACATATACACAACAGGGAAAGGGGACTCAATGTGTGAATGTCTCAGTGTAATCAAGGGCAAAGTTCAGTAAAGTTTCATAAATATGAATATGAATTCTGCCTGTAACAAAATGGGCAAGAATGTAGCCAGGAGCCTGGGGCAGTTGGCACATGCCTGTATTCCCAGCACTCGGGAACACAGAGGCAGGCAGATTATCTGTAGACTAGCCTGGTCTACAAAGTGAGTGCAGGACAGCCAAGGCTACACAAAGAAACCCTGTCTCGGAAGAAAAACAAAAACAAAGGCAGGAAAGTGTGACCACCTTACAGCAAAACCCCACGATACATTAAAAGGGTATCCCACACCACCCAGCACCTAAACCCCTTTCTCTGTGGTAGGAAAGGCAGGGAATAGTCAAAGGCTTGGCATTCTGACTTCTCTCGAGGACACATGTCCTGCTGGTTCCCAACTGCTAGAGAGAAGCAGAAAACCCCTCCCAGGCACCCATCACTTCCTGAAGCTGGCAATCTCTCCTGCCTATTATCTAGTTCTGGTTTCTAATATTCCAAACGTCGGTGACGTGAAGTTTCTTTCTGACATAAACTGCCTCACTCTAATTTTTAAATGACACTCAGCAAGTTTAGGAATTAAGCATCTAAACACCACTAGGGTTCTCCTTTCTCTAGTTTATTACTTTAAAATACATCCCGAGGCAAGCTGGCTCAGTAAGGTAGCTTACAGGCAAGCCTGAGTGCGGGACTCGTGGTGGAGTTGAGTCCTGCAAGTTGTCCTATGACAACTCAAGCTGTGACAGCCACCCTTCTTCCAAAATAAATGAAATTTTACTAAATAAGAGGTTTGCATTTCGGTACGCTCCTAGATCTTTTGTGGGCATCTTATGCTGCAGCTTTTCAAAGGTAAGAGTCAAGTGTGGGTGTCCTGATTGCGCCGCATGACGTCTACGGGCACACGTGCTGCATCAGATCCCCAAACTCTGAGATCGGGGTCACACCCGCGCCCCACACTGCACACATTAACACTTCGATTCTCAAGCGGACCCACAGACGCCACCGGAGCGTCTCCCACCGACCCCCCTACGGAACCATAGACAGCGGTCTACACCCTTTCACCGCTCACCAGCTCCAGGCTGCCCCCAAATATCGCGGTATCTAGCACCCTTCCGGCTCTAAATAGCTCGCGAGAAAGCTAGTGATCGCACGGCCTTCTGGGAGTCGTGGTCTACTTCTCTGCCTTCTGGGAGTTGTAGTCACCAGGAGCCCAGTGCTTTGTACATCTTTAGCGCGTTCTCCAGGACCAATTGTGTGATTCTCTGCCAACTACCCCGCACACCTGTTCAGAACTCAGGCACTTAATACTATTTACCACGCCGTTCAAGAGGCAGCTCTGCTCTTGAGACAAACAGAAATACATAAAATTAGAGGCTGAGATTGAGCAAGCCGCATGATCTAACACACTAGGCAGGAAAACCATGTCATTGAAGGAATCACTTAGAATCTTTTCTTTTTCTTCTTTCTTTTAACTCTGGCTGGTCTGGAACTCAGAAATCTGCCCGCCTCTGCCTCGTAAGTGCTGAAATTAAAGGTTTGTGCTAACTTGCCCATGGCTACTTGAGAGGAATCTTGAAGGGTGACCAGCACAGAGGATCTGGGCAGCATTTCTAGAGGGCACACCTTTGGCAAAGACTGGGCTTACTGGAATCATTGTTCTCACTACCTTGCAGCAGTCACAAGAATCAAAAACCTGTATGTTCATTGAGGCTGTTGAATCAGTTCCAGGTGACCTACCATGGGAACTGAGGAAGGGCCTGTGTTCTAGTCCTACCATTAGCCAGTTACAGAACACTCCTGTTCCTAATTTTCTTTTTCTTCAGTTTTTCGAGATAGGATTTCTGTGTGTAGCCTTGGCTGACCTGGATTCGCTTTGTAGACCAGGCTGGCCTTGATTCACAGAGATCTACCTGCCTCTGCCTCCCAAATGCTGGCGCCGCCACCACCTGGCTATCTATTTTTTCTTCTTAACTGGTAGTTGTGGCAACTACTTCATGGCCTACTCAAGGCTGCTTCAGGGGAAGGATCACAGAGAAGCACATGGTTTTGGCATCACAGAATGCCAAGCCACAGATGCACTCAACTCAATTCTACACCCCTGCTTCACATCCCACATTAAGGCTTCATTAGGACCCACATGAAGACAACACAACAGAATAGACAGGGTCAAATGATCCCCTTTATTATGGTTCATCCAGTTACCACAGATAGACACACTGGCTCAGGCAGGTCAACTGCCAGCTAGGGAATAGTGTCTCTCAGAAACAAGGGGCAATGGATACCAGGAGAATGCAAAAGCAGGTCACTGGTTGGCAACAGACAGGAGGATCCCCAGAACCAACTGGGCCCTCCCACTCCCAAAGCAAACCATCTGTACCCAGCCCCATTTCTCATCCTGGTTCCTTCCTCACGAAAGTGCATAGTTGCCTGGAGATGCAGCATTCCAGGGCCTGAGCAGCCAGACACTGGGAATAGGCTTTCCCAAGGGCAGCGCCAGGCATGGCCAATAGGTCTGAGCCAGGAAAGAGTAAAGTCAGGAAGGACGGGAAATATTATTGGAGGCAATATCCAACAGCTTGTGGATGCTCGGCCAACAGCCGAGGAAGGGAAGAAGAGCATAGCCCTAGACTCTCTTAGGGTACCCAGGGCTATAACAACTGCTCTCCAAAGAGAAATCTGTAGAGAATCAACTAAGCCTAAGGAGTCATTAGGAAGGGAACTTTTCCAGAGTCTCTTAGTTTCTCTTACAAGGAGGAAGAAGAAAATCATAGCTCAAAGTGGCCTGGTACCAGGTCTTAGATTCCACCGCAAACCAACCTGGAATGGCTGAGTAGGGTCTGGTTTTCCAGACTATCTAGCCCAGGTGGATTTCTGTTAGGAGGTGGGAAACAGGCAGCTGCTCCTTGGTAAGGCCTACCCACCTCAGGCCTCACAGGGCTGAATCCACTACCAGGCAATGTCCACCCACTGCTTGGAACAGACTGTCCCAGGAAGCTAAGATCAGTCATGAAAGGAATGAGGGCTCTAATAGAACTAAGGGAAGGCCAGGAATCAAGTCCTGTGGTCCTCTTGAATGGAAGAGAAGGAGAGAATGGCAAAACCCCACAAAACTAAAAACTAAAGGCCGAGTACTCCTTCGGTCCCTCCTTCCCTCCCTGCCAACCAGGAATCCTATTCAGGATATTGTGCTTGCAGCTTGAACTGGGCCTGGGAGCATCTCCACAGAATCTGTCCCCGAACCAAGGGCAATCGGGCTGGAAAGGAGCGGTATCCTCTCAGTAGGCCCTATTTGACTTCTCTTCTCCCATTCCCTTCAGACCTGGCCCTCTGAGCCCTATCCTTTCTATCTTACTCAAATAGAACAGCTACTCCTCCCAGGAATCCAGTGCTCACTCTGAGATACCTACAAGCCCTAGTGGGCTGGGGCCAGCCACACCTCCCCCAGGGGCCAATGATGAGCTCCATGTTCGCTGTTCCAGCAGTGCCTTTACACTTGGCAAGTGCCTTGTACAGCCCAGCTCTACAGGAAATGCAGAGCAGCTAAAGGTGGCTCTGGGAAAGGGAGGGAAGTCAGGAGAAGGAAAAGGAGAAGCCTGCCTCTGCAGGCCAGGCTTTCAGAACTACGGAGACCAGCCCTGCATTTCCATTCTCTTGTGTGTCCAGTACCAAATGGGCTCTCCATCTCCAAGCTGTGTGCCCCTTCCACCTCAGGGCTAACTCAGGGCCCACATCAGCCTCTTGGAACTGGGAAGCAGATCAGACTTGGGGATCTGGGCAGTCTCAGAAGCAGACATAACTGAGACACTCAGCCTTAGGAAGACAAAGCTACACAGGGGAGGAAAAAGATCCTGGGAGAGGCAGCTAGGGAAGAGAGCACAAGGAATCTAACAGTGAGGCAGAAACAAGGGGAGGACTACAGGGAGCAAGGGAACATCATCTGTCCCATCCCCCAGAACCTACCTACCATCATGAATGCTAAATACTGTTGCTGCCCAATGGGACCAAAGGCAGAAATAGCTTCGGCTCATAATTCTGCATGGGATGCCAGGCCGTCTGCTAGGCCTCCTCCTGCCCTGTGAGGAGTCCCTGGGCCAGGGCCGGAGGGGGCAACCTGGTGGATGGGGGGCTGGTTTAGTTCTAATCATACATCTAGCACCACAACAAGAGATCTCCACTGTACATTATTTCACAAGGGGACACGGACTCAGCTACCAGTGCACACTTCTTGTGCAGTCTGCAGCTCTTGGAGTGCCAAGAGCAGAACCCAAAAGGTGGGGGCAGGGGAAAGACATATACATATACATACATATACATATATATATATATATATATATATATAACTCTGATTCTTTGTACAAAGTCAGGGAGGAGGAAAAGGAAGGGGGAACCCTGCTTGGTCACCACACAGATGATGTGGATTGAGCCCCCTGTCCCGCTGGCCCCAGCCCTGCCTCCTGGAGGGGCTTGGCTGGCTCACATCTCATTAGAGTACGTATAGTTAGGGGTGGCAGAATATTGAGTCTGCGGTTGATTCATGGCACCCTGGGCAGCCCCCATGGCTGCATTCTGGGCTGCCTGCTGCACGTGTGGGTTCTTCCATGCTCCGGTGGTCCATTCCTCCTGAGCTTTGCTGAAACTGCCTCCGCTGCCCCGGTAGAACTTATGAACCTGTAGGAACAAAACAGTAAGGGAGGGTTAATGGAAGAGGAAAGCAGACATGGCGCTGCATCCCTGGAATCCCTGAGGGGGCAGGAGAATGGACTCAAGAGGCTGTCTAAAACACAAAATCAAAAAGCCAGGAATAGTGGCACATGCCTGCCACCCAAGCCCTTGGGAGACAAGGGGGGTTACTCTTCAATACATCTTGAGTTTGACGCCAATCAGGGTTTCTTTTATAAGTCCCTGTCTCAAAAAATAAAAATAAAAAAATTAAGGGACTGGAGAGATGGCTCAGCAGTTAAGAGCATTGGCTGCTCTTCCAAATTCCTAGCACCCATATGGCAGCTAACAACTGTCTGTAACTCAATTTCCAGAGGATTCAAAACCTTCACACATTCATACAAGTAATCTAAACACCAAATGTACATAATGATAAAAATAAATAAGTTTTTTAAAAAATAAAAAGTTAAAGCTTGGCATGATGGTGCACAGCTTCAATCTTAGCACTTGGGAGGCAGAAGCAGGTGGATCCGAGTCTGAGGGCAGCCTGGTCTACAGAGAAACCCTGTCTCAAAAAGCCAAAAATAGATAGATAGATAGATAGATAGATAGATAGATAGATAGATAGATAAAAATAATTTAAAAAAATGGGTAACAGATGGGATCCCTTTGTGGAAAAAAAAAAAAAAAATCAGTCCTCAGAGTAAGTAACTTAGAAGACTTTTGGGTTCTTTTTTTTTTTTTTTTAGATTTATTTATTATTTACTCAGTATTCTGCCTGTGTATCAGAAGAGGGCACCAGATCTCACTATATCGATGGTTGTGAGCTGCCATGTGAGTGCTGGGAATTGAGCTCAGGACCTTTGGAAAAGCAGCCAGTATTCTTATCCTCTGAGCCATCTCTCCAGCCCTGGGTTCTCCCTTAAAAAAAAAAGTTTTTGTGTGTGTTTGTATGTGTCTGCGTGTGTGACTTCAGGTGTCAGAGGACAGCCTCCAAGGTCAGTTCTGCCTTGCACCTAGCTTGAAGCAAGGTTTCTGTTCTTTTGCTACTGTAGTCATCAAGCACGCTGGCCCACAAGTCTCCTGTCTCTACTTCCCATCGGGCCATAAGAGCACTGAGACGACTGTACCCAGGTTCCAGGCGTTCACAAGCAGATCCTGCATCTGCACAGCAAGCGTTCTTACCTCCTGAGCTGTCTCCCCGGCACCCGACTTGTGTGTGTTAAATGCAAATACACAAAGGGGTGCACTTGCCTGTGCATGTACGTGTAGAGGTCAGAGGTCAACTCCAGCTATCTTCTCCCATTGTTCTCTACCATGTTATGAGAATGCCTGTCTCTTTCTCTGAATCTGAAGCTTGCCCTTTCAGCTAGACTGACTGGCTTTTAGACCTAGAATCTGACTGCTTCTACGCTGCTCCCAGCTCTGAGGTTACAATCATTGGCCACTGTGTCAGGCAGTGGATTGCGGGGATTCCAAACTCAGGTCCTCATGCTTATGAAGCACTTTACCCACCATCTCTGAGCCTCCTGAATCCTCCTATAACCTGGAGAAGGGATGGTTTCAGATCACAGTCCTCTCCCAAAGCCACCCCTTCATCCTGATGTTTACACATACCATGCTAAGGGCGATGAAGGAGAAGACAGCCACGACTGTGAACATGACCGTGGGGATGAGCATCACCACTGCTGAGCCAATGTTTGTCCCGAAGAAGGAGATGGTGGCGATCCAGCCACTGTAGGAAGAAGCCAGCTGTGGGGCGGATGTAGGAAGAGGGAACCCAGGAGCCACCCCAAAGATCATCTCATTGCCACCATGAGGAGCCACCCAGTGACCTTACTTTTGACACTCCATAGCCTATGTATGCTCCCAGAGCTCCTGAGGCAGAAGGCTTTTCCTCCCCAGCTTTCCCACAGCTTCTGACGCTCCTTGGCCACTCAGATCCCCCTTCTCAGGTCCCCTTCCCCTCTAATCCTATCATGAGCACTACTCCACGACCCCGAAGGCCCTCATTCTATCCACAACAAGCCCCTCGGTGCCCTCAAAAGCAAAGCATCTTAATACTTAGGCAAGCAAAGACCCAAGTGCTACTCCGACCAGCCCAGGTCAGCCCTTTGCCTCTTACCAGACACCCCAGCCTGGAATTCCCACAGCCTGGATGATGCTAATGACCAACTGGGCCATGAAGGTGAAGAAGAATGCCATGAAGCTGAAGGAACTGTCTGTCCTGCAGCAGAGAAGACGGTCTGTCACCGGGCAGAAGCAGTGGGCTTCCATGCACTCATGAACCCAAAGCTCCTCTGGGCATAAAGGACAAGGATAGTTAAAGGCTTTACATGAGCATCTACATAGAATGGCCTTCACCCGTAGATTTTCAAACTCTTTCCATGAGTTAGGCCTGTGTGCAAGAAAGGGATGTCCCATGAAAGGACTATCCATGGCACATGGGTCAGCAACCCTACTGGCATAGAGAAAGATGGCTCCACTGTGGGAGAAACAAGCAGCTCCATTATCAAGGGACTGGAACGGGGGTAGACAGCTCCATAGGCTCAGAAAGAAAAAAATCCTAGTTGACACTGGATGAACACTCGCTGGCACCAAGTCAGCTATTCCCATCAATACACAGATAGGTATTCCCTTTGGCACAGAACTGGATGCCATCATTGGCACATGAATAGTGTTAGTGGGTCTTGGATGGTTGGTTCCATTGACACATGAATAAATGGTTTTCCGGGTATCAAATCAGTCATTCCCCACTGGTAAAAGGATGGACAGCTTCACCAAGACAGCCACATAGGCAAAATTTGACAAGAAGGGTAGAATGAAAAAGGAAGGAACTGAGAAGGGTCCCGCTTCTAACCCTCTCAACCCAGCCTAGAACTCTCAGGAATCCCATGTTCTGCCTGACAGTCCCAGTCAAAGGTGAACAAGGGAAATAGCAGACAGAGTTTGGGGAGTAGTAGTCAGAAGGAAATAAGGAGTAGGAGCTTGGGTCAGCACCAACCACTTACTTGAAGGCCTTGTAAATGGGCCGAAACCAGCAGACGTAGGAGCAAGGTGTGAAGAGGATGAGCCAGAGAAAGGCGAGGCCAAAGTTGGTGGCTCCCCCGCCTCCGATCAGCCACGCGAGACAGCCCACCAGGTTCACGGCCAGCGTGACGCTGTTCACTGCAGACCCGGGAGTACACGCACACATAGAGATAGACACCAGATACACACAGGACACCAAAGTCCATACAGAGATACGTGAGTGTACAGACGTGAAGACACGCACCCAAGGATTCCATATAGACTCACAAGCAAATACATGGCAATAACACAGACAAGCAGTAAGATACGGACATACACATGGACATATGTGCAAACACACACACACACACACACACACACACACACACACACACACACACGCGATCCATAAGCCATACCAATGAATACATAAGAGACAAATACAAAACACACACGCACACGCACACACACAGTACAGACTGTAAGAAAGAAAGCTGGGAGCTTGGGTCAACCCTTCCCCAGATTTCTAGGTGTCGCTAGAAATCTGAGAATCCCAACAACAACAGTCTCTAGGCAAGAACTCAGAGCTTCTGCCCAGCAAGCCCCCTGGAAGGATCACACAGCCTCAGGGTCCTGTCCTGGTAAGAAAGACCTGGGGAAAGGGGGGGCGGGGGGGGGGGGGGAGGAGGAGTAACTCAATGTTAAAAATGTACTTGACATGCAAGAGGTAGGGATTCCATCCACAAGACCACAGCTCAGTCCTTGGCCCTCTCAGACCCACAGCAACTACCAGCCCCAAGGCAAGAGATCCATCTTCTATCTTTTCTTACAAAGGACTTGAAAGCCAGGGAGAAAAAGACCTGGAAGCATCTCTTCAAAACACTGGGCCACCTGCCTGCACTTCGATGGGGGCCACAACAGTAGCGAGGAGCTCGGTCAGTCCTTGTGTATTGTGTAATCCATTTCTTAGACCACAATCCTTCTACCTCCAAGATGCCTTTCTTACCTATCTTCCTTTGCTCTGACTTGCAGATCTGGGCTGCTATAATTCCAACCCATCAGCCAAACTAGAAATTCCTCAGTGGTGAGATCCAGACTCCTCTTTCTCTTTCTCACCTGCCCTAGAAGATCCCAGGACTCACAGTATCACGAGTCAGACAGCAGAGGTCTAAAGACTTTTCATTTTACAGATTAGAGAACGGACATTGGCATCAGCCTACGCCTCAGTCTTCAAATCCCAGAGAACTCCCTTCCTTAAACACTGGCTGAGTCCCCAAAGAGCTGCCAAGTTAACAAAGGAAGGTGGGCTCCATCTTGGCCTCAGTCAAGCACCTCTGCTCATCTTCTGAATCTTAAGGCTTACACACATTCTTCTTCAGGACTTAAGGAGATATTTATAGCCCTTAAATCCAGCTTCTGGACCAGATCTTCTCATGTGGCAGAGCTCCAGAGCCAGACAGAATGCTCCCCTAAATCTGACCCAGACTGAAAACTACCTCTGCAGCAACACTCATCTCAGGGCTCCTGTAACAAATATGTGAATTTCAGGTGTTTCTTCCATTCTTCTTCATTGCTGCAACGTTTACTACAGCTTTGTTGTTCTTACTTATTTTGTTTGCTCTTTAAAAACAACACCAAATCCATGTGTGTTTCTGTGTGTATCTGTGTCTGCCATGGTGCACACGTGAAAGGCAGAGGACAATTTGCAACCCTAACGCTGGGTCAGTTCTCTCCTTCCACTGTGTGGGCTCCACGGATCAAACTCAGGCTGTCAGCGTTTATGGCAAGTCCCCTTGCCTGCTGCACCATCCTCCTGGCCTGTATGTGCTCTTCACATAGAAGATGCTGCCCATCAGGTATTGGGTGGCATCACTCTCTCCAGGCTTATCCCTCTCTAGCTCACATGCTCTAGAGTTTATACTGCAATTCCCCACATCTTTGGGATAGAAACCCCTGGACGCAGGCAGTATTTCTCCAGCCTTGAGGCATTCTCTTCTTTCTTCTTCTCCTTGTGCAACCTCGAGTCTTCAATTTTCTGTCTTACTCCCTTTATTTCTTCATTTCTCCATTTATCTATTTATTTGTTTATTTATTTTTGAGATAGGTTCTCACTGTATAACCCTGGATGACCCAGAACTTAGTATGTGGATAAGGCTGGCCTTGGACTCACAGAGATGCATGTGCCTCCGCCTCCTAAGTCCTAGAGTTAAAAGGGTGCATTGACCCAGAATGACCATAATACACATCTTTACCTGAATGGAATGCCCATAAGGAAAAAAAAAGGTATTGCCATGCAGAAGCATAAAGGACTAGAAATTCATGGAAAGCGATCTCAGATGACCTCTCATGCCCCAGAGATCTTGGTAGCTGGGTTTAGCTTCACCTTCCCCAAAACCCCTACCCTTAATCCTCCTCCATACATTTTCTTTTATTAAAAATTATTTTTTAATTGTTTTTTATTATTTATGTGTATGGGTATTTTGTTTGCATTTGTATCTGTATACCATACGCATGTAGTGACTGTAGAGGCCAGAAGAAGGCCTGGAACTGGAGTTATGGACAGTTGTGAGCCTCCATGTGGATGCTGGGATTGAACCCTGGTCCTCTGGAAGAGGAGACAGTACTCTTAACTGCTGAGCCTCCTCCTTATTTAATGGGAAAAACAGAAGTGTAATTTCATTTTCGTTCCAACAACTACAGGCTACCCATATCTGCCCAACTCCTCCTCTTCTCATGTTTGTAAGGCAGGAAACCCTTGTCTACCCAAGGCCAAGGCAGGTCATGGCACAGAGCCTGACCCTCTGCTGCTACTAACTACTGTCCCATGAAGAACCTGTTGCAAAGACAGTGAGTTTTGTTTGCTTGCTTTTTACCCCCCCACCCCCCGTGTCTGTGTGTCTGTGTGCACATGTGGAGGTCAGAGGACAACTTTCAGGAGCCATCCTTTACATCTACCTTGTTAAGGCAGGGTCTCTCATGTGTCTGCACTTTGTACTCCGTATCAGCCAGCCTTCCTAGCTTCCAGGCGCTTGTCTCCTGTCTCTGCCTCCCATCTTGCCTGTACTGGGATTACAGGTATATGGTACCACTTTTTACATGGGTTCCCGGTATTGAACTCAGGTTATCAGACTTGTGATAACTTCACCCCACATTCACAAACTGAGATGGCCCACTAGCCCAAGATAGCAGTCTTTACTACCTTCCTGACACAGCTGGGTGCAGAGCTGAGTCAAGGCAGTGTCACCTGGAACAGATGCCAAGTGCATCCACACTAGAGCCTGTCCCCCCTCACATGGCTCAGCAGGATCTTCTGACAACCCTGAGCAAAGTCAAGTCTACACACCTCATAATGACACTATTCCGCTGGCCCACCTCAGACCACGACATACAGGCACCTCTAAATTCTCACCCTTAACTCCTCAGAGCATCAGAACCCTAGCCCACACAGCTACCTGGAGCCGCAGCTATCAGCAAGCCACACTCTCTTTCTGCAACAGAGAACCTGCTGTTTGGGAAGCAAAACAGAAAAACTGGATTCCATGTCTCCTAACTCCCAGTTGAATGCTCTTCTCTTTGAGCAACATGTCAAGAAACATGAGGATTTAAAGGAAGGGCTCTCCTCCAAACCCAGAATCTTGGCAGCCAGCACAGGTTCCCTGGAAAAAAGTTTTCCAGTGGGAAGGCGTAAAAAGGCAAAAGGAGAAATAACACTGCAAAAAGAAACCCCGCCCAGAAGCTCTGCAAAAAAGAGACAGAACAAGAAAAGAAGGGAAGAAAAGAGAGGCCTACACAAAAGAAACTTAGGCCCAGCTGGGCAACTGGCCAGTGAAAGGGAGCTCTCAGGGGGCCAGCGTGGACAGGTTCCCAGGCTGTGCAGACGCTACACTTGGAAACCGGGATGTGCAAGCAGCCCTCCCCAAGGCCAGCACTTCTCCCTCATCCCCACAGTACTCACACATCCAGAGGTAGTAGAGGCGCTTGGTCAGGCTGAGATGCTGAGGAGGGATGTCGGCCTCAAAGTCTTGGTAGAAACATGGCTTCAGCGGGATGAATTTGGGCAATGGTGGGAAGTTGTTCACTTTCTCTGTGAACGAGATACACTGAAGGGTATCACCTTGGATGTCTCCCCTGGACTCCCTTCTGGGCCCTATAGGTCCTGTATGGCCCTCCCCTCCTGGCTGGGCTGTCTATAGATTCTATATACTCTGGCCCCGTGCCCTTGCTGCTTTGCTATCTCCACCGAACTATCCCTACTACTAAGGCCAAGATGATCCTTAAGAAATCAAAGATGCTAAAAAAAAAACATCTCTCAAAAGACCACAAATATAATAAAAGCTGCCATGGAGTGAGGTGCCTCTACAATAGAGATCAGGTCCCACAGCATGGGTGGAGTCTGGAGTTGTGGGTCCTGGCCTCCACCCCAGCATCAGTCATTCAACTCTCTACCCCTCTCCAGACCTCAGTTGATTCAGAAGAGTAGAATCTGGGCTACATGGTTTCCTCCAGCTTTGGCACCGTGCACCTAGGAGCCTTTAGAAACCAGAGGAAAGAGTCTCAAAGTACAATGGTAACACCAGGAAATAGGTACAGGCCACCCATGGTGCTTTTTGGTGAACTGCAGGATAAGACAGGACCATCAAGATGCTCAGCTCAGGTCCCCAAGCTCAAAATTTAACATAGGGATAGATGGTGCTACGAAGTTCTCAGATTGGCAAGCCACAGTGGGAGTGTGGGGCTATAAAACCAGGAGACAAGAGTGCATGCAGAAAGCAAGACTTCTGAAGGCTAGGACAGGGCCAGCTACTTTATGCCTTTTTTCATATCTACCCCAACATGGCCCATCTCTCCTTACCGGCCATGATGGACCAGCCTACTCAGTAGCCTGCTCACACCTCGTTGTCCTGACCTGGAAGAAGAGAAAAACTAGATGAGAATGAGGATCAGAACACAGTATAACACAGTTCCCTCTGCACCCCAGTTTGCTTCATGGTCTCTTGAGGCCTGACACTCTTGCATTCTTACTGTGGGGTGAACCCAGATGGAGCAGCTCTTTGCCTCAGAGAATCACATCAGCCACATTCTTCCGGCCATTTCCACTGTGCCAGTTAGTTTTAACGTCAACTCGCCACAATCTAGAATGGCCTGGGAAGAGAGCCTGAACTGATGAGTTGCCTAGATCAAGCGGGTTTGCAGGCGTGTCTGTGAAAGACTGTCTTGACTGTTGACTGACGTGGGAAGACCACCATCCCCGGGGCTGTGATCCTGGACTGTGTAAGTGAAGAGAACTTGGTGAACATAAGCTAGTAAGCAGGCAGCATCTACGTTTTCTTCTCTCTTCTCCACTATGGATGGGATGTAACTAGCTCTTTAAGTTCCAGCTTTGACTTCCCCTCGGTGGTATTACCTGGAACTATAAGCATAACAAACTTTTCCCTCTCCTAAGTCACTTTGGCCAGCATATTTTGTTTTATTTTGAGACATATTGGGTCTCAATATGCAGCCCTGGCTGGCCTGGTACCCACTATACTAGACCAGGTTGGTCTAGAGCTCATAGAAATCCACCAGCACAGACGTTACAGATCAAACTGTCTGTGACTCCAGTGCCAAGGGATTCTATGTCCTCTTCTGACCTCTGTGGGCACCAGGTAGGCACATGGTACCCAGTACACACACATATCTGCAGGCAAATCATTTAGACCCATAAACAAAAATCAAATCTTTCTTCAAAATAAATATATAGAATGTGCAAGGCCCTGGGTCTAAAAAGGCCTGACTATGTCTATGTACCACGTGTGTGTAGTACCAAAAGAGGGTGTTGGATACCCTGGAACTGGAGTTATGGATGGTGATAAGCCACCATGTAGATGCTGGGAGTCAAACCCAGGTCTTCTGGAAGAACAGCCAGTGCTATTGCCACTGAGCCACTGCAAAGTTCTTTTTATAATGTAGAGTATGATTACATTTTCAAAAACCACCATTCTGGGGCTAGAGATAACACTCAGTGACTTTCTGTGCAAACAGGACAGACCTGACTTTAAATCCCCTGTGCTTAGTAAAAAGGTGGATATGGCTACAAGCCTCTGTAACCCACTGCTGCTGGCATCAAAGATAAGAGGATCACAGAGGCCTGCCAGCCAGCCTAGCCAAACCCAGCAAATTCTAGATGAGAGATCTCGCCTCAAGGGAATAAAGTGAAGAGTGCTAGAATAAGACTCCTTGACATCCTCCTCTGGCCTCTGCATGACTTCGCATGGGCACACACATTCACACACACATGGGTAAAGAAACATACCAATACACCACACACATACACACATTTCCACTCTGCCATCCCTACATGACAACAGACACAGGCAGGGATCACTTAGCTACCAAAACCGCTGTGTGACGGTTGCTATGGAAAAGTGACAGTGAGTGAGTGTCACATTTCAGACTGCTTACTAATTTTGAGAGAAAAGATATCCCTAAAATGAGAGAATCTGGCAGACCAAATGATTAAAACTAGCATTACAATAGAATAAAAAGGTAATGTGTGCACAGAAGGATACATAATCTTCTGTGTGATATTGGTGCTAAAAAAATGTTAGTCTGAAAGTAAGTATGAGCCAAGCATGGTTGCACATTACTATAGTGCCAGCAATAAAGAGACAGAGGCAGTAGGATCAGGAGTTCAAGACTAACCTGAACTACCAAAGGCCCTGTCTCACAACGAAGAGGGGTTAGTTATTTTAAAAAAAGAAAGAAAAACAGCTGTTTACAAAAAGACAGCTTCCACCTAGGTCTACTTATATGAGATAAGGAGTCAAATTCACAAAAATAGAAAAAAAAATTACAGAAGGTAATCGATGAAGGTTGGGGGAGAACTGGAAAAAAGATTTGGGGAGGCACTCTAGAAAAGGCAGATGCAGGCCAGAGTGTGGCCTCGGAATACAGCAGAAGTCCACCTCTCTACCCCTCTGCTACCGTACAAGCTGGAATGAGAGGGAGCGGGCAAGAGCAGGGCACTCAGCTAATGGGCAATTACAATTCAACCTAAGTGCTCTGGGACAGTAAACACAGCTGTGGGAATCAAGACACCTCCTTGTACCTGCCGTGGTGCCAACAAGGGCTCCACAGAGGAAGCAATATCAGATCTGAATACATGAAGGTCAAACAGGAGTTGGCTGGACAAAGGAAGTAAGGAAAACAGAGGGCCAAAAGAGCAATGGCACGGCTATTCAAGGAATAGAGAGGCAGACTGAGCAGAAAGCTTGAAGCAGAGGGAGGAAAGGAAAGGAAAAAAGGTTTCTGGGAGAATGGAGAGACGGCTCAGTGGTTCAGGAGAGAACTCACTCCCCGAGCTTTCTTCAGATCTCCACACGTGAGCCAAGGCAGAAGCAAGTGCATGTGTGTGTGCACTCACACACAAATGGTTGTTTTTTTTTTTGAGACAGTCTTACCATGTAGGCCTGACTAGCCTAGGATCGGCATGTAGACTAAGCTGGCCTTGAAGTGGCAGAAGCCTGCCGATTTCCGCTTCCTAATGGCGAAGATTAAAGGTATGCATTACCTCACTGGGGTAAAAAATTGGTATGGGGGTTGGAATTTTATATATGAGTGCTGTATCTACATTATCCCCCCACTCTCCTCATGTTCATGGATTTTTTTTTAATTATTATTCTCCAATATGTGTGCATGTATAACTATATAAACACAACAACCTGATTAAGTACATTTCCTGTTGCTCATATATACACATTTAGGACTGACTTGGTATTGGGTAAATATTTAGGGAGCTCATTCCTGGGGAATATTGATTCTCTCTCCTTTTTTTAAAAAAATTATTTAATTTTTATTTTATGTGCATTAGTGTGAAGGTGTCAGATCCCTTGGAACTGGTGTTTCAGACAGTTGTGAGCTGCCATGTGGATGCCGGGAATTGAACCTAGGTCCATTTGGAAGAGCAGATAGCACTCTTAACCACTGAGCCATCTCTCTAGCCTGATTCTCCCTCCTTTAAAAAAAAAAAAAAATTTATATATATATATATAAAGAATAAAACCAAAAGCTGGACACAGTGGCACACGCCTGTAATCCTAGCACTCAGGAGGCAGAGGCAGGCAGATCTCTATGAGTTCAAAGCCAGCCTGGTCTACAGAGCAAGTCCAAGACAGCCAAGGCTACACAGAGAGACCCTGTCTTGAAAAAGCAAGCAAACAAACAAACAAAAACAAAGTTTGTTTTGTTTGTAGGGTACATCCCTACAAACTAGTACTTAGGACATAAAAGCTAGAGGACCAGGAGTTTGAGGCCAGCCTGAGCTATCATGAGACCTTGTCTCAAAAAACAAAATAAGCAGGTCGGAGATGCCTTGCAGCCTGTGTTGCACCCCCAGACCCCATAGAACGGTGGAAGAGAAGAAATGACTGCACGAGGTTGTCCTCAGACCCCCACATCCGCCCACAGGTGTATCAGGTGCTCATGCACACACACTATTTTTTGGGGGACATATATTTTGTAATTGTGTGAGCTCAGTGAGGTTTTATACACATATGTATTTGTGTGTGTGTGTGTTTTTTTTTTAATATCCTGAACCCAGTTTCCCTTCCCTCTTCTTTTTCCAGTCCCTCCCCACCACCTCCCATGTCCCCCACCCGCCCACTCGACAATATTTTTGGTTTGGTTTGGACTTTGGTTTTTGAGACAGGGTTTCTCTGTGTAGCCTTGGCTGTCCTGGACTTGCTCTGTAGACCAAGCTGGCCTTGAACTCACAGCAATCCACCTGCCTCTGCCTCCCTGAGTACTGAGAGTAAAAGCATGTGCCACCACTCCCGGCTAACAATATTTTTAAGTGCATAAAATTAAAACAAAACAAAACAAAAAAGCTTCCTCACAAGGATTCAACACAGGACCTCATGTATGCTAGGCAAAGACTCTATTCTTGAGCCAAACTCCTAGTCTCAGATCCTTTTATTCATTTTAATGTACAGCTATGTATACATCACAAAAATGAGCTTAAACATGGTGTGTCATAATCTGATTTTTTTTTTTTCAGACAGGGTCTCACCATGTTGCTCTGGCCCGAAATTCTCATAATCCAATTTTTCCTACTCAATATATATTTTTTTTGTCTTCAAGTTTGTCTACAACCTTATCATGCATGCCTGTAAGTGCCAGAAGAGGGCACCAGCTGCCTGGGACTAGAGTCACAGCCAGTTGTAAGCTGCCATGTGGGTGTTGGGAATCAAACCCAGGCACTCCAGTGCTTTTAAGCACTGAGCCATCATCTCTCCTGCCCCACACAACATCTTATAAAAATGTTTCAATGCAACTCTCCTGAGAAGCCTAAACTAAGGGTGTGGGTTAGCCTTTCCCTAAGTGCCCTTCTCTCTCAATGCTCAAGCTTAGCAATATGCTAAATCCTTCCTTAATAAACTTTAACTCTGCTCTTTCTGTAAGTGGTGTGAGATGACCTGTGAAAATGGTTCACTCCTACCTTGAGGTGGAAAACCCACAAAAGCATAAAGTCAGTAGCTCCAAATCTTTGTGTTCATGTTAAGAACAGCCTTGAAACTGCCCAAGCCATCAAGGGTGTGCACACCTGGAAAGCCAGCAAGTATCTGAAAGGTGTCCCTTTAAGATAGCTTTGAGTGAGCTGGGCGTGGTGGCCCAAGCCTTTAATCCTAGTACTCAGGGAGGCAGAGGCAGGCAGATTGCTGTGATGCCAACATGGTCTACAAAGTGAGTCTAGGACAGACAAGGGCACACAGAGAAATCCTGTCTTGAAAAACAAAACAAAACAAAAAAGGCAATGAGTACCATTTTGAATGTCTGAATGTACAATGGTACAATGGTGTGCCCAGGCCAGTAAGTACAACTGGAGACAGGATAAGTGGCGCAAAGACAATAATAAATTTTTTAAGCCAG